TCATAATGTATGAGAGAAGCCGTGAGATGAGAAGTGATTGGTGGTGAGGTAAACTCTAATTCTAGCTTAGTAATGTAGGGGAACAAGCTTAGTAAAGTTTAGCGTAATTATACAAAAACTGTTAAAAAAAAATTTTAGCGGGCAAATTTGCCCGCTAGACGGTTTAAGGGATAACCTAGAATCGCTCAGATGCAGTTCATCAATAATATAGCGTAGCAATCATACAGCAATTACACATAATACAACAATTACACATCAATAACAATCGCATATCAATAATCATCAAATAACAATTGCACATCAAACAACAACCGCATATCAAATAACATATCAAATAATAATCGACAAACCTCCCAATAACCCACCAACATCAAATTAACCAACTTTCTTTTGACATCTCGCACTATTGTGCCCAGTCTTACCACAGCTTCGATATATATACGGCTGACGACGAGGCTTTTCTGTTGCAGCCTTGAACCTTTTGGTCACAGGCCTGCCCTATGCTTGGTAATCGCTAGATTTTTGATTGCAGAATTATTTTCCTTTTTGCTGTCTTCGCTGTCATCACTGTTTTTAGGCTCTTCATTTTGTATTAAAAGATGCTTCTTTTGATTAATAAAGTGTTTTAACTATAGTTTCATATCATTATTATTACATTCTATAGCCAATTGTACAGCTTGTCGTGCAAGACTCCAAATTTCACCAAATTTAGAATGCCTGGCTGCTGCACTTCAGTTGCTTATTGCTATTGAACGGGAAACTGTAAAAGGTTGAGGAATCAAAGGTATTTTTTGACCTTGCTGAGCTTCACTAGCATCTGAATTTGCGAAAATCACATTTTCCTGATCAATTTCCTTTTTCTTGCTATCACAATACCAACGTGATGCCACCATTCCAATATGAAATCCAGAAATTCGTGACACCAACATTACTTGAAAGTAATGTTGACATAGAATACCACAGGATATATTTGATATACATGTACATATATAAGAAATAGAATCAAGAACAATAATGAAGTGTTTTCTTTAACTGTTTCTAGGTCGTTTATCAGTGATTTGCCAGGTCTCTTTAATATTAATTTGATCCACTTTTGATATTATTGACTTAAGTAAAATCTGCTTCGCGTCATAAATATCTTCTGTAAATCATTACTTATATTCTCATTCTCATCATCCAATCCAATTACTGTTAAGTCAACTAATGTCGCATCAAAGTATAAATACTGTGCCATTTCAATATGCTCAATAGAAAGAATTTGTGGGATCAAGTATTCTAAGAGTATATGGTCAACAGCAAGCAATATTTCACTACTAACAGATACAATCCCAACACATGATGACAGAGTCTGATACTCAAAAAAACGGTTCCACTCAGCCTCTTTTTCTAATTGTGAATCCAAAGTCTTCACCAAATCACATAATACTCTTTTGATAATGTTGTTATACCTATAGTATGAATAGAATTTAGTATAACATGTCAGATATTAGTCGACATCTTAGAGTAAAAATGCAGCAATCTAAATCGTAAATTAAGACACAAAATGAACCTCAGACAAGTTGATCTCAACTAATATCTGACACGATCTTAAATTATCCTAACCAAATTTATACACCTATACCTAACTCAAACCCTAACCCATAAACCTAACTCAACAATAATCATAAATCTAACCCTAACCCTAACCAAATCAAATTATAACGTATTAATTTACAACATACCCTTCAACGCGTGATGTAGTTTGAATTCCTGCCGTGAAAACTTTGGATGTGAAGGCACAAGCCCATGAGTAATGACTAGGGTAAAGAGTCTAATTCAGGTAATTTGAAGCAGATAGAAACTTTTCTAATAAAATTTTCCATCTGGACTCAAATAGCATCTCATCCAAAGTGTTATGGCAGAGGTAAAAATCTTTGATGAATTGATCATACACATTACCTAACGTTCCCTTCAAATTCTTTGAAAAGTTTTGGCTGATGTGAAAAATACAATGTAATGAATAAGTATTTTCATACACTTGTTTTAACGCACTGTCCATCGCTAGATCTGCATCCATCACAAAGACCATAGGCTCAATACCTGTAGCTTTCATAGTGCACTGGAGAATCCATAGATATGAGTCAACAGTTTTATCAGAAACCAATGCTTGTGCAACTAAACGAGATCTCATATTATTATCGACAGCAAGGAACAAACTCAAAGGCATCTGATATCGATTCGTCTTAGATGTATTATCATTTAAAATGACATTGTAATATTCCAACCAAAGAGATATCTGTTTAGGAGTTATCCAGAAAATCCAGGTAAGGCAGTTATCGCTATCTAACTTGAATTCAACACTCCAACCTGACTCTTCTGAACACTTCTCAGTAAGATATAATAAAAGCTGTGAGGCATTATTTTTAAGATATTTAGACTTAACTTTATAATATTGAATAGCGTTAGTGAGATCCATATCTAAGAAAGTTGTATTAGTGTACTTTGCTCTTAGTAATTGACGCTGTATGGTAATCAAAAGATTTCTATTTTTTGTATAAAACTCAATGTCGTTCAATGCTTCATCTCCAATTGACCTGAACTTAGTATTGTATTTACACTTTTTAGGATCAAGTTCATGGTTGTGGGTATTTACAAATGTTGTAACTATAATGTGATTGGATTTTTTAGGCAAACTTAGATTGATATGCCATTCACATCCTTTACGTTTTGATTGTCGGTTGCGGTGAGTATTAATATTGATACTCTTTTTAGGTACATATTTTCCTCCAAACTCACATCCAAAAGATCAATGTCTAATTACACCGTTGTTATGCTGTTCAACCCTTATTTTAATAACAGCAAATCTATGATACTGACTATAAGCTTTAAAAAAAGCTTCAACGTCATCTCATGAAGAGAACGTATAACCAAGTTTTAGTAAGGAAAAATCGTGTTGCATCTCACCTAAAAAATAAGTTTGCAAGCTTGAAACGTTAAAACTAAACCTATAACAAACCATAACTTTATACTACAGTATTACTAATACCAATACTGTTAACCTCCTCAGTAGTTGCTTCATCGTAAACTGCATTTTTGCAGAGAGCATTAGTCTCAGTATCAATCGTATATGAGCTATTAGGTTGAACATTAACCACGTAGGAGGTACTGAATTCAGCATTTACTGTACCAGAGGTAATGGCTTCAGCAGTAAACGTGTAGAAAGTGCTACTTTCAATATTTGCTACTTGATCAATCATAATCGTATAAGAGATACTGACTTTTGCATTAACCGTATATGAAGTACTAGTTTCAGAATTAACTACGTAAAAGGTACTGGCCTCAGCATTAGTCAGTTGAGCAACCATATTTAAACATCGCTTCTACCTGCTCAATGTCAAATTTATTAGTTTATAAAAGTGCAATATATACGTTACTTCTAAGAACAGTTAAGAATGTTGTCACATCATGAAATCAGTTAGGAACCAAATATTAAAAATAAAGAATTAATGAAAAAAAAGATACGAGGTAAATTTTATTAAAAGTTACTTGAATATGTTCACATACACATGATCTTCAAATTTTATATCTATATATAACCTGTAACAAATAATTTATATAACAGGGTGTAACATTAACATTTATCCTAATTTAAAATTTTATTAATTTCTACAAGAATATTATTAATAAATCAATTTTTCTCTTCTAATGAATTAATAAATGATCAGATATATGTTTCTAATACATGTACTAGGAACATAGTGAAACAAAGTATATAGTTTACTAACAAGTTGCTGTGTTCGAAATCTTGAATTTATTGGACAGCGTGATCATTGTATGTGTATTCTTTTTTTATTATTGCTCGATCAGATCTTTATTACGAAAGAAAAACATATAGGATTTGGAATCGCCACCACATAGTACTTTGAAGAGGATTATTATATTATGTTTTCTTTTGTTCTGTCTGCTTGTGACCATCATCCTATCAGACCACATATACTAAATAATCTGATAGGTTGGGTGGGGTGGAATGAAAAAACCCAGACAAATATTTAACCAGCTAAAATCATGCTATTTTGTCTGAGAAAAACCAATTCTCTGAAATTAAAACATTAATCAGTGATCATTGTATAATCTACTAAGCAGTTTTATGTATATATTTATTGTCGGGGATGATGCTGAAATCGGATGATGCTGAAATCCACGTGACATCCGTATCAGCAGATTTCCTAAAATTTCCG